AGGACCAGGAGGCCATCTGCAGAGACGCTCTGGAGATGACACATCTGAAAGCAGAATAGTAGATGCAATAGAGCTGGAGTCCTCTGAAACTGCGATGTGGACAATAGCTTTTTGTGGCAAATCCTGAATGTCTGTAAGGGAAGTAAGCTTCCCGTCAAAGTCTGGATCTTCATACAGCAAATCAAAGTGGAGGTCAATTTCCAATTGTTCTTTTATAATCTTGATCAGTGCATCAACAGAGGCTGGTCTTGAGCTGAGTTTTAGTTTTCTAGCCTGGTCTGGATCAACAACACGAAGGATCATTGGTTGTGGAGATGCAGCTGCCATTGTGCTAAATGAAAAGACAAAATCAGGTTGTTAAAAGTGTATCATATCTAGTGTACAACTTGCGTAATTCCACAGAGTGAAGACAGACTATAACTGGTAAATAAAAGTAATCTCTTTTACCTGAACTCAGTTCCCTCTCACTTGAATGAACCTCTTGGGGGTCAGCAGCAGCGATCCGTCTACCTTGTATGCTGAGAGGGGGGCTGTATCATTCAACTCAGACTGAAGGTGGATTGACAGGCTTGTATTTGCAGTCGACAGCTCGTAGGACCGTAGATGTTCTACATACCAAGAGTCATAATCACAACACAGAAAAGATACATTGTGATTGACAAGGAAGATCTGTTCTATTTTGCTGAATTTAGATAGTCCACCGCTGACTCCTACAGACAGAAACATTCCACAGCCATAGTCTGTGCCATCAATGGTTACTTTTGATGTCTTGTAGATTGTGTCAGTAGTTGTTTGCTCTCTAATGTGTACCTGAGCAGCTGGATGCTTGAGTGTTTGGCTTAAAAAATGATGGTGTGAGAGGGTGGGGAGGTTGACAGAAGAAGTAACATTCATTTGATTACCTGGTAACTTTATCTCCAGTAATGTTTAACTCCGTCTGAACTCCTTTAAACTAGAACACAGTGATGCAAACACATTAACTGATCTGAAGCCGAACAATTAAGCACTTTCAGAATATCAAATTTGAAAAACATTCATAGAAGAATTAACATTCATTTGATTACCTTGTAACTATCACCAATAATCTTTTAACTCCATCTGAACTCCTTCAAACTAGAACAGAGAGATACAAAGACATTAACTGATCGGTCTGTTAATGGTCTTTTTTTTAATTTTATTCCCAGTGTCATGCTACTAAAGCTATCAAGCAAAATTAACATTACTGTAAAAGCAGCTGCACTTGAACTTTATGAAGGGGTCAGCAGCCTATCCCGATATTACGACATGCCAGTTTTCCGCTACTACTGATTTTAAATGTGCAACAAAAAGCGCACACAAAGAAGGCAGTTCCGTAGTTCCCCATTAAGCCTAGGCTCCACTGCACGCGTTAGCGTTTACGCGCGCAACCTCGCAGCAAGGGCTCTGTGTTTCTCAATGACATCTATGCGCACCCATGAAAAGTAAATGAGGGCGGCTCCACGTAACGCGACAGGCGCACGTATGGAGCAGCGCGTCCTGCGCACGCAAATCTAATGCCCGTGCCGCGAGGTTACGTGCGTAAACGCTGTGCAGTGGGCACAGCGCGTAGGGCACCTAGTGCTTGCAGGGGCACCACGTGACTCCTAGCAAAATGATTGTTCGTCTCCGGAATAACCCGCTACTCTGACAATTAGACGTCGATGTCTAAATAGCGGCGTGTAACTCTTTATGGATGCATAGTTAATCAACAACCGCGCCATTTCTCCAAACTAAAGTGCTCAACAGCAGCACGGAAAACCCACCGGAGAGCGCCGGAAGACTCTTCACCGCGACGCCCCACACAAAGAGTCCCAGCGGCGGCCAAGGCATAGGGAGGACACCGCTGCAGCTCCGGCGGCTCGGAGCACTAGCAAGTCGCCGCTCGCTGTTCTATTAGCCGCTGCCCGCTCGTCTCACATGTTCTCCCAGGACTTATGCCTTTAACTTCACTTAGTGCGCACAGCAAAACCATTTCATTACTTACCTCACCCTGTCAAGTGTTGTATTAACGTTAGCACAAAATGGAGGTTGGGATAAACTAAATAAAATCAAACTTTTCCCTCCTCATAAGCAAACATAAGGGTATAATCGCATATGGTATCAAAAATAAACGGCGATTTTATGGCTTTGACCCCGAAATAATAATTACCATACGAATAATTAATAAAAATTAAAAAAAAGAAATATATATATATATATATATATATATATTTTTTTTTTTTTTTTTATCATCTCTAAGTAGATTACTTTCCGTGCCTCAGTGCGTACAAATAGGTCACACTTATTAAGACAAGTCTAAAAGTATATTAAAAATTACCTTTACTCCGGATGCTTGCCCCCCGATCTCGCTGTAACATATATGTCACATCGGGCTTTTAGCCTTAAAATAAGAATGAAAAATTGATGTGACCTATTTGTCACAATAACAAAACGGTAATAATCCACCCAATTAATTTAGCTGTATCAGTTATATTAAGTTGAAATATGTACTGCTGATCAATTAAAAGTGTACTGAACAAACAGAAGCACAAAATTATCTATACTATACTATAATAATATAATATAAGTAAATATAAATATAATAAGTATTTGGTTTGGATTACAAAAACACTTTTTTGCAAATCTGTACATAGTGCTCACAATTTTTACCAATCCCATGAATAATAAATATTCTTTTATTTCTATTTAATTTTGTAGTATGCAAAAAGAACAAGTGCAACATTCTTCAGGATGCACTAGAGGCCATCGTGGGAGATGATAGTGAATTTGAGCGATGTGACGATAGCTCAGATGAAAACCCTGATAACACTCTTTATAAGCCCAATAGCCAAGACAGGGAGGGTGACGAGTCAAGTGAGTGTGATGATTCAGACAGTAGTGAATCAAGTACATCAGATGATGTACCACAACCAAACGTGAATTCAGGGCACCAAAATACATCCATCCTAGGAAAAAAAAACAAGAAACTGTCCAAGGGAAAAAAAATAATTCTCAGAGGAAGAAGCCTTTTGAAACCCCTGAATGCACAAAGGACCACATGTCACACATCCAGACAATATTCTTAGTCCTCTGGAGTACTTCAGAAAGTTCATAACACCACACATTGGTGTCTTACTCCTTCACAGTGTGTTAGGAGGCCACACATTGTGAAGGACTACAACACGCTCATGTGAGGAGTAGACATCCTTTATGCATACATTGCAAGGTGCAAGTACCACATGAGTTCACAAAGGTGGTACATCTACTTGTTTCTGGCACACCATCACATCTCACCACCACCACTGCCCAAGAGGGGTTTGTGGTGGACTTCCAGATAATGTTCGTACTGACCAAGTTGCACACTGGCCTGTGAAATGTGACAGCATGGCCACTGCAAACTCTGCAAAATCAATGCAACCACCACTCTCAGTGAGAAAGGTGATGTCCATCTTTGCTTCACTGAGGAAAAAAAACAGGTCTTAGCATCTGGCTTAGACTAAAAGGCTAGAGATACTTAACAGACAAAAGAAACTGAGAAAATGTTTCACACATGGTACTGATGATACAAGGGTTCTATTTCTCTTGAGCTTTTTTTTTTTTTTTTTGCACAGTTTCTGTTTTTAGATCTGTTGTTCAGTTCTCTGTACCTATGGTAGCTTGTTGCGAATGCCCCCAAATAGGCAGTGTTATTTATTTTGATGCATATTTGCACATTTGGCATATTTTGTGAAGCAAAGCAAAACTGAAGACGAATTTTATGTTAAACCTTGCTATTAAAGTCACAGCTTTGATATATGTTGTGAAAATGTAAATAAAAAGGTAATTTTCTGTTACCAAGCAGTAATAACTCTCAGGTTTACTTATTTTGAAATAAGGAATAAGTTTACCACTAACGCCCAATGTGACATATATGTAACAAACCAGATCTCTGGTATGAAAAAGTGTTATCCTGAAAAAAACACCAGAAATGTGTTCTATGTGGTCCATTTGGTCTGTGGTATTCACACTTTAATCACGGGGAAACAGAAGCAGCCGTTGATAAGAAGAGGTCTTGGTCACGTTGCTGGTGGATGGTCCAGAGGCCCGAGCACATGGCACGCATGTCTCTTCTGCTGAGTTACTGAGTGCTGCCCCCTATGTTGGCGGGTTGAGTTGACACAGCGCAAGCGCAAGACATGCTCAATGAACAAATTGTTCATTGGGTCAATTTACTAGAGTGCAGCTATGTATCTATGTGTGTCTATATATATATATATATATATATATATATATATATATATATATATATATATATATATAGTAAGATAAGATAAGATAATATATGCCTTTATTAGTCCCACAGTGGGGAAATTCCAAGTGTTGCAACGCACTATTTCAGAACAGCAGGAAAAGGTAACACAGATAATAAATACTAGCTTAAAAATAATAAAAAAATTGACTTAAAAAATAATTGCATATAGTGCAAAATAATCCACATTAGATTTTACTTCTTTGGTGAGGCGCTTTGAAATTGTATTGTATTTCAGCATGTACTATGTAAATTAAGTTTATTTTAAAATCATCCCTATTTGAAGCAATAAAAATAACAGGACTTTACCCATCTCAGCATTTAATTACTTAATTCTACTAAGTTGTACCTCGTCTATGTTTTTATGTTATGCTCACTTGTACCCACAATAGTTCCCTTTAATCAAAAAATATTAGTTACCATTACTCAAAAAGACGAACATGTTACAGCAACTTCATATAATTAAGTTAGTAGGACTATTTCTAAATCTTTGAGTTTCCATAACTTAATCTATTTAATTACTTTGAACGTTCGGGTTTACAGTGACCGCATGCTGACTGCTGCAAAGACTCAAAGAAAGCAGGATAGATGACCGTTGTTACTGACAGTTGTTACTACCAATATTTGATCTTTATATTTTATCATTTTTAGAACAAATTTAGCAAAGGAGACAGTTTGCAGTAATGTAAACCAACATTTTTGAAGGTGTAAATGC